CGGCTTCTCCTCATCGGCTATTATGCCGCACACGGGCTTCGTATTCCTCACGGACTTAGTGCAGGAATCGCCGCCCGATCTGCGCCGCAAAGCCGCCCGACTCGTGGCCAACAAGTGTACGATCGCCTCGCGTGTCGACGCCTCGCACGCCGCCAGCGACGGCTCCATTGGACGGCAGTTTCGCGAGAAAATCGAGCGCCAACTCGACAAACTCCAGGAGCCGCCGCCCGTCAAGCAAATCAAGGCACTCGTGACACCCATAGATCAGCCCCAGAAGAAGAGGGGCGGCAAACGGATCCGCAAACTCAAGGAGCGGCTGGTGATCACTGACCTCCGCAAACAGGCCAACCGTATGACGTTCGGCGACATCGAGGACGACGCCTATCAGGAGGACCTGGGCTTCACGACGGGACAGATGGGCCGGTCGGGCACCGGTAAGATACGGGCGCCCACTGTCGACGAGAAGACCAAAGTGCGGATCTCCAAGACGTTGCATAAGAACCTACAGCGCCAGCAGCAGACGTACGGCGGCAGCACTACCGTCAAGCGGCAGGTGTCCGGTACGGCCTCATCCGTGGCGTTCACACCGCTGCAGGGCCTGGAGATTGTGAACCCGCAGGCGGCCGAGACCCGGGTGAATGAGGCCAACGCCAAGTACTTCTCGAACACCAGTGGGTTCTTCAGCGTTCGCCCCAAATGAGTGGTTATTATCGATAATAGTAATCATAATAACGGCGATTAGTTTTATGAATATAACGTGCGTTTCCTTGTAATTCAAATCAATGTTTATATATTTCATTAAATATGTGGCGTTTTCCCCGCCATTACACACGTCTCACAGCCATTGGTTTGTGTCTTATGTGTTAAATAGTAATTCAATTTTAAATAAGTTTTTGGATTACATTTCTCGTGTGTTTGTGTGTATAGTTTGCGTGTGAGAGTGGACAGGGATTTGGTTGTAAAAAGTTTTTGTGACATTTTGTTGTTGTGTTTGCGTATCATTTCAGCGACAAATGGGTTTTTAATTTTACAGTAAATGATTGAAAAATGCATTCATATAATAATAATAATGAGACCAAAAAAATAGATTTCAAATAACTATTTAACAGCTCTTTTCATATGTATAAGTATTATAACATTAATTAAAGGCTAATAAAGTGTTTTGTAATGTAATATAACGTTAACTATAAATACATGCCATTCCGCGAGTCGATATAGAGGGGAAAGGGATATAGAGTGAGAGAGAAATATAATAATGAGTTATTAAATGGATTCGTATTTTTACTAAAAAATAAACGATTTCTTAAGATTCAAAAGTCTTAACACCGAAAACACCTTTTCATTTAAAAACATGCATTAAAATGGAGTTTAGTATCGATTTATTAGCCGTACTATTGGCTTAACAAAAACTGGTGGTTAACAACACCCGTATTACCGGTAAAACTACGATCAGCAGCGCTTGGCTCTGACGGACAGTTGTCTCATATTGATGTCACACTCGCCGACCAGTTCCTCGAAATATACGGACAACGACTGGCAGGCCTTATACTCGTGGGAATCGCAGTTATTGGAGAAAATGGCGTTATTTATTATCAGTAAGACCTACAAATGGGACCATAACTCGTGAGTGGATTATCGCATAAAATTGGGACCTAATTGTCACTCACGTCGCGGAAGAACTCTATATTCGTGGCATACTTTCCCTCATTTAGATTCGTTACGAGTCGTCCCAAATCCACGTATTGTTTCACTACTTTGCTATACTTCGGCGCCTATAGGAACAGCCAATCGAAACGAATCATTAAAAACCGCAACAATTCATTCAATACAATCACTCACAGCGTGCGGTCGACTCCTGAAAAGCCAACCGTCCGAATGCTTCTGGAGCTTCTTGAGGACCGTTTGGCACAGTCTATAATCCAACTGCAGGTCCGAACGCCCGGTGCCGCCGCTGACCGGACTCTTAGTCTTACGCCGAGAACTAGTGGTCTCCTGAGGTATTACTTCATCCATTTCCACGTCAGACTTCTGACCGCTTCTCCTATTACTATCTCTGGAACGGCGACTCCTTTCCGACGGCAACACATACTCCTCGTCCGTGGCGTAGGCCTTCGTGCTCTGTTTGGTACTCTTGCCGGGCGGACGACCCCTTTTGGCGGGCTTTGGGTCCGACTCGTCACCGGTAGAGCCGTCGCTATCGTCCAAATCGAGTGCCACTCCCTTTCGCTTTCGATCGGACGACTGGCCGCCGCCGACGGAACAGTTGCCACAAAACCACTCACTTCTGGTGATCCTCTTCACGTGCGGCGCGCACTCCGTGTGGTAATAGTCTCGACACTTAGCGCACGACAGCTGTACCTCCGAGTCCTGTCGGCCGCACTCCACACAAGTCTCGCACCCTTTCGACTCCGTACTGGACGTCAGCACCGATTGCTCGTCATTATCGTCATCCGAGTCTCGAGTATCTTCGCCATCGCTATCGTCACTGACAACCACCACGTGCTTACCCTTCTTGGGGGTCTGCGGTTTGAATTTGGGACAACACTCGGGACACAACCACTCGCCGGCCGGTATCGACTCGAGCGCCGGCTGGAGGCAGTAGGTGTGGTGTCCGCGGTTGCACTGATCGCATAACAGCATGTTTTCGGCGTCGCATTTGCGCCGACATATCTTGCAGAAGGCCTTCAGCGCACTCTTACACCAATTGATGCCCAACTCGAGCGCCGACAGGTGTACGAAC